CAAAGGTTAAAATAAAAACTGGGCAAATTAACTTTGCCAAATAGGCTTTTATTTTAAATCAGGAGTTGTTTATGGGGACTCTTGTTTGATGTTCCAACCCTCCCGTCTCCTGCAGGCCTTCGTGTTTTTCCCTTGTTGGGATTCTTGCCACAGCTTTCTCGAGGGCTACTTGATCCGTAAACCTTCTCCTGGCAAAGACTTTGTCCTCAAAGTCCACTTGGTCTTAGAGGACATGCATCCAGGAGACACCGAGGTACTGCCACCGTCCCGGAGCTCCTCACAATAAGAGCTCAGCAAAAATGTTCATGTGTTGCATAAAACATCTTTTTGCTTTTACAGGAGACGATGTACAAGAATCTGATGAGATGGAGCAACGCTGTAAGTTCTTGGTCGTTTATTCTGATCTTCTTTCGTTGTCGGCTTGTATTTGTTCCAGTTTCTTCTGTTTGCTGTAGGACGTTTCAGAGCCCGAGTCCCTCAGCCAGCGGCTGATATGTGTGACCTTCTCTGACGTCACCCTGAGCGTCATTCAGAGCGTTCTGATGGCGGTCGCGTCCCTCGCTCCGTTTGTCAACTACCTGGTCCTCGCTGAACGCGTACGTTAGCTTTCACCGCCTGCTAGCTTGACGCTGCACAACATTTTACATCAGGGGTGTCCAAAATGTGTGCTGGCTTTGTGTGACTCCGATTTAAAAATGGAGATGGAGATTTTTAATTTGAAATCAGGGTAAAAAGATTTTACCAAAATATTTTTCATACAGAGTACAACACAGAGTATTTGTGTTTGTATAACAAAGGTAAAACCAAGAAACTTTTATTGAAAAGGTAACTTTACTGCACACAAATCAGCTTTTATTCTTTCTTAAGCAAGCAAGCATTTTGAAACAAAGTGACACAAATCCTGTTCTTATTACTGAAAGTAAGTTTATTCAGTGAAGCCCAAAAGAAACTGAGAGCTGCATGTCTTTATTTTAATACAGTAAATGTGCAAAAACTGTTACGGCGTATTAAGGCAGCTGTAGAAAAAAAGAGAGGTAGTAAAATTTTAACAAAGAAGTCATAAATTTTGAGAGTAATCTCAGAAAATTCCTACATAAAACAAGAAAATTTGCCCCCCCCCCAAAAAAAAGATTTTAGATTAATATCAGGAAAAAACTTGGAAATTCCTGAATTTCAAATGTCGAAAACTTTGTTTTGAAGATTTTTCTGGAAAATTTTGGAGTTTTTGGCAGAAATTTGCTCATCTTTTACCATCTACAACATCCCTAATATACCGTCATAAAAATCCCTTCCAGGTTTTGGGCCTGAAATAATTATCGATCGACTTCATTTGCTCGATTTTAGGTTGAGGTTTTTGGCCTGCAAACGCTTTGGAGTCGACAATCTTGGCAAAAAGTTTGGACACCCCTGGTTTAGAGCCTGAAAGATCTTTGAAAAATGGAGATTAAGAGAAAATCCTCCAACACCAACCAGTGATTAACTCTTGAATTTGGTTGCATAATTTTTATTTCCCAATCTTCATTTTTAAGACGATCGACAAGCCAAACAGCAAATCCACACCCTTTAATGACAAATGAAGAAACATAAATAGCTTTTTCCCGGGTCTTTCTGCTCCAGGTGTACATAGAAATGTGTGACTCCAGCAGCGTAGCGCTGGTGTTGGACCTCCTGTTGTTTAAACGTCTGTCTGAGGAAGAGAAGAAGAAGATTAATGATTGTGATCAGAAGAAGAAGAAAGACGTTTGGTACGTTTGTCTCCAGATCCTCTGTGCTTCCAGGCTGTTTTAACCTCAGTAACTGTTTGTTTTTGCTCCACAGGAGGAAACTTGAAAATGTCCACCTGTGAGTATCTGAAAGTATTGCTGGTCTTTGTCAGGTCATCAGAGTTCAAAGGTCATCAACACAGTCAACTTTTGGAATCCCTTAGTTTCTGTCTGTTTGCTGTCTCTTATTCGTCCATCTTTCTTGGATCTAACTACAATCAGGTTTATTTTATAGCACATTTCAGCTGCGAGGCAGTTCAAAGTGCTTTACAGCATAAAAACACAAACGTTAATTTAGAAACGTCGCTCTGCATTCATTTCTTATTAAACCTGTGCAATGAGGCGACTTGTCCTCAATTTGTGAAAGAGAAATTTTGAGCTTGCGGACTCAGATGTGCAGCGACTCGACACAAGAAAGTTAAAAATGCTCAACTTTTGTTGCTGTCGCGGGAAACTTTCACATTTTGCTGCTGTTCGTCGCTTTCCATGCTTCCCATTTACTTTTAGGAGTATTTTTACTAAATTATACTTTTTACTTGAGTAATTTTATTATGAAGTATTTCTACTCATACTTGAGTAAAATTTCTGGATTTTCAGTGAAAAACAAACATGTTTTTAACCAAAAATTCAGACTGCAGTTTTTGTTGGCTTCCTAAGTTTTTTTTTTTTTTTTTTTTTTTATTGAAAGAAACTGATTTTGTTCATTTTGCCTGATTTTGTTATGTTATGTGAATTATTGTCATTTTCATCCTTAAAATACCAAAGTTTCCACATAACTTTACATTTTCCCCGTCTGATGATGTAGTTTGTAAACATTAAATGACTGATGATCTGATCAGTTACTCAGCTGCTTCAGTAATTTGTTGGACGGCTACTTTCTGCTTTTACTTGAGTAAAGATACGTTGAAGTAGAGCCACTCTCACCACCACTAAGTGCCGTCAGCTGCTAAAGTCTGATCTCTGCTCAGCTGTTGGACCTTCAGTGCGTTTGCGTCTAAATAACCTGAATGACTGTTTTTGTTTTTGCTCCACAGGTTCAAGGTTAAAAATGTCCGACTGTGAGTATGTGACAGTAATGTTGGTCTTTATATTTCTCTCTAATATTTTGTTTACATTTTAATTGGACAACAAAACCATTAGAATGTTTTTGTTTAGTTTTTCCATTGTGAGAAGCTTCTGTCTTTAAATAATTTAGTTTTTTGTAAATTATATACACACAAAATTAATATAATTTACCTTTCTTACAATTAAATGGATTGACGATAAGAATAAATACTGGAAAAATAAATCTGAAAGTGAAAATCGCTAAGGGTTTGGATTTAAAGCATTGCAGGAACTACATTTAGTAGCAGCTGGTGAAATATTTTCCCTTTTTAATTTCAGTGTGCAGAGGCAGCCCCCAGCAGGGGGCGCTGTTCCAGGACTGGCTGAGGGAGCTCCAGATAAAACCCGGCCTGCTGGTGTGGAAGCTGCAGCCTGTGAACAGCAGCAGACCGAAGCAGCTGAGGAAGAGGATGTTGGAACAGATTCAGCCGAAGATCGGACTGAAAACAAAAGTTGCACTCAGGAACCCCAAACTCCTGCAGACAAGTTGTCTAAAGAGGAAGAAGAGCTGATCGATTGTGTAACAGATCAGAAAGACGAACTGAAAGAAGAAGAGGAGAAACCAGCAGAGAAGCAGAAAACGGCCGGTGAAGAGTCTGAGATGAGAGGCGGATCTGCAGCCAAAGACGAGACGAGCAGCAGCGAAGACGTCCTGGCGACTCGCGTCTCTGAAAACACAGCAGCTGGGAACTCAGGAGGGGACGATGAACCAGAAGAAGAACCGACAGCTAGGAGAGAGAACGTTTTGACCAGTGAGAGCCGCGCCAAGATAACGGAGTCTAAAACCAACGAAGAAGAGATGCCAGCTGAGAAACAGAAAACAGCTGGTAAAGAGTCTGAGATGAGAGGCGGATCTGCAGCCAAAGACGAGACGAGCAGCAGCGAAGACGTCACAGCAGGGGGGCAAAATGAAGAAGAAGAAGAAAAGGAGGCCTCCACAAAGCCTGAGGTGAGGAGGATGTTCTCATCTCCATCATCTTATATCTGCTGTGTAGAAGTTTGGTGAAACACTGGAAAAGTGTTTACAACTTCTATTTTTATTTAGAAAATAGAAAAATAGAACCTGTAGAATTAAAAACTATAGTTTTTTTATTTTGTACAAATTTCTGCTTAGTATTATAAGCAGAAACGAGAAATTTCTACTCATTTTTTACTTTATTTTTACATTTCTGCTTATTTAAAAAAATAAATGAGCAGAAATTAAATCAGAAATGAATTCTGACTTCTGCTCAGAATTATAAACAGAAAATGCTGCACAGATCCAACAGCTTTGACTTCAAATTAATTTCATAACTTGGTTACCATCATATACTGCAACTTATGAGCAGATAAATTTTTACTTTAAAAACACAATAAAACGTAATATTCTATGAAGGTGTAGTTAAGTACATTGATTCAATAGAGTACTATACAATTACAAAGATATGTTTTTTCTATGTTATCTTTATATGACCTGTTTTGTGTTTAGGGGTCTATATGGACAGTTTATTAATGTTTATTTGCTTTAATAAATTTACTTCTGAGACGAGGATTAGACCACATAGGATTGTTTTTCTCCTACTTTCATTCCAGTTATTTTTGTTCATGTAAATGAAACGTATAAAAAAGTGGAAAATCTCCTGGTTTTGTTTGAATCTTTGCTGCTGGACATGATGGACGCCTCTCTTGTTTCTCTTCAGCAGGAAGTCGGAGCAGAAACTCTGAGATCTGCTGACGGCTCGGATCGAAGCAGCCCAGGTTGGTGTTTCAGGACCTTAAACGTCTCGGTTTGGGAGGGGACACGTTGCTATGGTAACCGGTAAACTCTTCCTGAAGCTAACGGTTCTGTTAGTAATCGATTAGTCTGATGATCAATCAGTTATTCTGATGATTAATCAGATTAAAAAAACGGTCCCTTTCTGCTTTACTTTTCATTTAACCCCCTAAGCCTTTTTATACAATATTAGAAATGCGTTTTTAAAAGATACAGAATGTGAATTAGGTTAAGTTAAAACTATAAAATATATTTACAGGCAAGGCATTTTTTAAATATCTTTATATTTTTTGTACATTTTCGGCGTAATTATGGCTCTAAGTATGTTCTTTAATCGCCTTTTTTGAGTTTTTGTACTCATGTTACCGATTAATTGATTCCTAAATTAGTTGACAATTATTTTGGTCATCGATTCATCACGATTAATCCAATGAATCGTTTCAGCCCTTTGGTAAATTTTACCGAGTCCAGAGCAGGTTGGGTTATTCAGAGCCGAGTTTCCTCTAAAATCTGTTCCTGTTAAATGTCAGAGATTAAATAGATGAAACTATTATTATTATGTTATTGTTCACTATTATTATTATTACATTAATGTTTATTTTTCTACCAAATTCAACAGATTATATTATGTAATTCATAAAGTGTGATCAATCCAGTCATTTTACTTTAAAATATGCCCTGATGCAAACAGTGGAGTTCTTTACGTTTAGATTGAATGAAATCTAGTTAAATATAGTCCAGAATAATTTAACTAGGTGTTGTGTTTTTCTGTTTCACTCCAGTTTTATTCTGGTTTTTCATCATCGGTGTGTTTTTATGTTCAGTTTTAGATCAGAGTGTGAACGCTGCAGCAGCTGAGACGGAGGAGACGGAACAGGAAGTGACATCAACCAGAAAACGAGGCCGACCCAGGAAGAAACCCAGAAAGACTCCTGGTAGCTGACGTCACAATCTGTTCCACTGTGATGTCACATCGCTAAAAACTAAGATTGATCGATGTTTGATCTTGTTTTCAGTGAGAAAATCTGCTGGAGGAAAACCTGAGAACCTTGAAGAAAACACAGAAGAAGAAGAAACCAAATCACTTCCTGAGACGGATGCTGAAGATCCTGACCGACAGAACCTGGACAGACGCTTGGAGGAAGAGGAGGAGGATGATGAAGGATGCAGCAGGGCGTACGGAGAAGCTTTGGAAGAGGAGACGGTTCCATCAGGTTGGTTTTAAATCAACTATCACGTTTCTGTGTCAGTAGAAAGGAACAAGTCCATTGATGCATCTCTGAAAGAGTTTTTATGATTTAACGGTTTTAGTTTAACTTTTATTAAGTAAAAAAATGTAACCAAACAGTCCTTTTATTTTAAATTCAGTTAATTCTGAACTGAACTTAATGAGTTCAATACATTTAGATTTAATGAAAATCTAGTTAAAAATGGTATGGAATCATATAAATAATTTGATTTCATGATGGTCAAATTTACTCCATTTGGCTCCAAGTTATTTTTATTCAAGTCAAACAACCTCAGCTGATCATAAATACTTCACAACAATCAGAGAGTCACCGGGGGAAATCAAAAACTAAAATGAAGTTTGGTAAAAAATAATAATTATAAAATTGACAGAAAAAAAAATAATAAAAAATATGAATAAAAACCAATGCGTACTTAAATTCAGCTGCAGCAGTTTCCCAAAAGTACTAACAGCCGCCATTTTTCTTCTAAAGACGTTGAAGGGCAGGGGAACATTTTGAGTTTTTTTATTCTGGTTTTTCATCATCGGTGTGTTTTTATGTTCAGTTTTAGATCAGAGTGTGAACGCTGCAGCATCATGTGAGCTGGAGGAGACGGAACAGGAAGTGACATCAACCAGAAAAAGAGGCAGACCCAGGAAGAAACCCAGAAAGACTCCTGGTAGCCGACCTCACAGTCTGCTCCACTGTGACGTCACATCGCTGAAAAACTAAGATTGATCAGTACCTCATCTTATTTGCAGTGAGAAAATCTGCTGGAGGAAAACCTGAGAGCCCTGAAGAAAACGGAGAAGAAGAAGAAACCAAATCACTTCCTGGTGCGTCGCTGGATTCTTCTTCTGCTGTGTTGGGGCACGTCAAGACGGAGATGGACACTGAAGCTGCTGAAGGTCCAGACAAACAGAACCTGGACGGACGCTTGGAGGAAGAGGAGGAGGATGAAGAAGGTTTGGAAGAGGAAGAGGAGCTCAGTTTTTTTCAGACAATCTGTCATCCCATACTATCTAGCAGTGACTGTTCCAACAAATATGTAAAAAAAAATTATAAAAGTTACATTCTGTAGTTTTAAAGAAACAAAGTAACAATTACCAGTCTTAGTGACCTTTTAGAAAATGTTTTCTTGAAGGAGATAAACTTCAGGGTTTCTGCACATCCTTAAAAAGTCTTAATTTTATAGATCTAAAACAAAAGCCTTAAAATGTCTTAAATTCACTAGAAAATAGTTAAGGTGACCTTAAATACCTCAATCACAGGTATTAAAATGAATCTCGTATCTGTAGTATTGTTTTTCTTGTTACTTTTCTATCACAAGAAACCATTATCTGTCATCAGCAAACATTATCATTGGGTTCTGTAACTCAAGGTGGTTGTTGTTACCGCTAACTAGCTGCTATTACATTTTAGCTAGCTAGCTTTTTTGCGTTTTTCATTTCTCACTTCTGTCCCCGACCCATGCGATGCCACATATTCTCTGATAAAAAGCTTGACACTATTACTAAATAAAATGTGATTTCTTTTTTTTTTTTAATGTTTTTGTTCTGATACAGGTCTTAAATTTAATTATTAATGGTCTTAAAAAGTTTTAAATTAGTGTTTGTGAAACTCATAGAAGCCCTGTTCTTAATACCATCAACTTTAAAGTAAAAATTAAACATTTTTCCGTTTGTTTTTCTTCAGTAACCTGTAAAAAACAAAGGCAGTCTCCTTGTACCGTTGGTGATTTTATCCTGCCTCCTTTCAACCCTGACATCTCCTTTGGTGAGAAACAAACACACATCCGCCTACCGGTTGGAAACGCTCTTCTTCTTGTTCATGTTCTTGTCTCTCCTCCTCTTCAGGCGAGGAGTTTACGGCTCGTAAACTGGGATATTTCTGCTCCCTCTGCTCTGTTTTCTACGTGCTGAAGAGCAACGAAGAGGACACTCACTGCTGCAGCAGAAATCATTACGACAACCTGCTGGTAAACCTGAATAATAAAACAATAAAAACACACATGTTCGCAGCGTGCCGTCTAAACGTGCTTTGATTTTCAGAAACATTCGCAGATGAAAGAAGAGCAACCTTCACCGCCTCCAAAAAGGAAAACCAGAAACTCTCGATGATCCTGTTTTTATTTCTCCTTTTAAAATTTATTAAAACTTCTAGTCTGCTTCGATTGGGCAGATCCATTTGTAAACTGTGAATTTGTTTAAGATGATTCCCTTCACATTCAATATTTCTAAAAAAAAATAATTTTCTAGCCTTGATTTAAAGGAACTGGAACTCGGTGTTTCAGCAGTTTTCTGGGAATTTGTTACAGATCTGCAGTGCACAGATTCTGTGGTTCTGATTCTGATGAAGCTACAGAGAGGGTAAGAGTGTAGGCACTTTAGAACTGAGGTGATGTTTTAGTCAGAACACCTGCAGCAGCGTTCTGGATCAAATCCAATTGATTTTTTTTAGGCAGACACAAAGATAAACACGTTTATTTCTCTAACTGGGACATTCAGGCGGGAGAAGGCTGACGTTTTTTGTAATTATGCGTCTCTGAAGGTTCAGGTTGTTCATGCTGCCATCTTTAAATGGCTGTGAGTGACGGGGTAAAAACAACACAGCCTTCAGTTACATTTGGCCTGAATGCAGGACTTTTATTATGAGTTGCATCCAAGTGTGTAAAAATCTCAACCCACAACAATAAGATTCAACACCCACACTTGTTCTTGTGTTGACATAAAAATACATTTATATTTCTCATTTTTTCTATTTTTTTTTTTCATTGACATACCAAAAAACACAAATTTGTCCTTTCTCATTTTAGTTGCAGGCTTTGTTAAAATATCAGTTGCTATTTCTGTTGTTGAAAAGTGACTGAGTTATTTTTCCATCACTGAGTGCTAATCATATGTCCAATGTCAATGTCTTTGCACCTTGGGCGATAAACTGGACTTTTAGAAAGATAAATTGTGCCTTGATTGAATGTGAATATTTTTAAGGACAAAGTACATTCCTTGTTGAAATTTGCTACACAAATAAACTTGACATGTAATAACTGAAGCTGTGTACTGACTCTTTACGATAGACAGAATATAATAAAATCATAAAGTTTGTGTCTGTTGTGTTTTGGCTTGTTCCTTCAGTGAAGACATTTTTATTCAAGTAATGGTATAAATACTAAATATTCAATCAAAAGTAAAAAAAAAATTCAAACTACTAAAAGTGTTTTTGATTTTTTTTTAGATGGGTTTTTTTAGATCAAATGTTTACAAAACTAAAATTGAACTCACTGAAGTTTTACAAATACTAAAAGCTTCAATAAGAAAAAATAATGAAAGTAACCGAAGACGTTATTTTTGTGAGGGATTTTTGAGCTAACGCTAACGGCTGTTTCCGGTTGACACTCCGGACCAGGAGGGGGCAGTAAAGACGTTTTTTGTTTTATTCATCGACACAATTCGAAGAAGAACTTAGACAAACGCTTGCAGAGAGTGAACAACTATTGGTATGTATACATCAAACGTTTATGTAACTTCGAAACCAGGCTCTGACATTTAAATGTAGCTTGTTCTCCATGTTCCTCAACCTTGTTCCGGTTTTTACCGGTCTGTGAACGAACCGCAGGATGCTAACGTTAGCTCCTGCTAGCATGCATAAAACTGAAAGCAGCTGTTGTGAATGAACCTCCATCCGTAGATTACACAGAATCGGCTCTGTTTTAGGATTGAATCGTGTTGTTAACCTGAGTTTAACAGTCCGGTGCTTTCAATTGTTTTGAGATGTGCAAATCCGCTGAAGATTTAACTGTTAAAGTCTGGAGGTAGCTGAACTTTGGGATAAAGGCAGCTAAGCTGATTCGGTTAAATTAAAATGATCAGTCATACACTGGCCTAAATGTGGTGATTTTCTGGTTTTAACTCTCTGAAGCTTTGAATGTGTTGGTAAAAATGTAAGCTTTGACCACTTGATAGCGCTTTTAAGCAGATAGAGGGTTTCATGGGGTTGAAAAACACCAAACAATGTTTGCTTCAGGGAATGAATGCAAAAATGCACACCACAAATATTAACACTTATTTTTAATTGTTCACTATTTTATTAACTTATATCAAATCCAAACAACAATTGAAGACTGTTGCAATGTGATGTGGACATGTATCTTTAACATGCTTAGTTGCTTTGAGCTGGTTTGGTGAAGCATAATTTCCAGTTTTTGAGGTTGGTTGTTGCGCTGATGTATTTCTGTTTATACTGGGTTTAGCCATGTCTGCTGCAGAATTGCTCTTTTTTACTTTGGCTTTGTATCATCTCCTTGTATTTGTAGATACTGTAAAATTTACTTTATGATCTATTCAATCTAAATGACAACTTGACAAACAAACTTTGCACTAAGGATATTTTTTGCAAATAAAGAATGAAGCTCATTTTGACCGTTTCTCGGCCAAACCTCTCTCTATTGAAGGGTTTCTGAGGGCTAGCTGCAGCAAATGGTGTCTTTATTTAAAGCAACTTGATGTTTTCTATGATTAAACATAGAGCGAGTCAATTTTTACACGTTTTTTTTCCTGAAATATGAAAACAGTTAGTCATGGCTTGGCTCTTTTGAGTCATATGGCCACTGCAAGAGTTAGCATGTCTGTTAGCATAATAAACAATGTGCTGCAAGGCTCACTGCAGGGACGGAGATAAAAGTTGTAACATTTAAATAAAGAAACATGCCCACTTGGAAACTACTGATAAATTTAAGAAACATTTCAGTTAACATCCTGCACCACTGAGGATGTTTCTTTAAGCCTTTAAAAAAAAAGTTCTGCTGTTTGGCCAACAACAACCTCAAGTTTCGTCTCACAGTTAAAGACTGCATTAGGTTCTTTGCCCGTTAACAATCCATCATAAAAACATGAATTTCAAACAAAATGAAAATCATCCTCTTTGCTTTTTAAAGTGTTGTTACTGCTTGCAATATTATATTGATATTTGGGTATTTAGCATGTTTTATGTTTCTACAATATTGTTGGTGTGTTTTAACCTACATGGATGCTTCAGAGTTACTTATAAAATAATCAAACACTGCTTCTGTATCTTAATCTATGAATTTCTGTTCCAACCAGCTTCTGTTCTTGGTATAAATACACTCACATTTACCCAAAATGGAGATTTATTATTTTAGTAGTAGACTAAGTAAGTATAGTTTTGTCATGTTTCACATTTTCTTCCATTTTTGTGGTATTTTCCTGAAACCATAAGGTACTTGGTGTTGCAGCAGGAAGCTCCTGGCACACAAACCCCTCTGAGGTTTTTGTATGTGGAGTTTGCATGTTTTTCTTCCAGCTTTCGCCCAGAGTCCAGCAGACATGTAAGGTTACCCGGATACTCTAAATTGCTCTTAAGATGTGTGTCCGACTGTACCTTCGGTTCTCCTGTGTCCTGATGACCTGGCATGTTGGTACGCCGCCTCTCATCCATTGACTACAGAAGTTGGCACCGACCCACCGCAGCTCTGCCATGGATTAGATGGAGCACGGAATCTTGTTGTTTCTGTTTAACATTATCCTGCTGTAGATTTTCCCATTCCTGGTTATGAGATTTGCCATGTTGTCTTAAATTTTTCTGTATTTGTCATTGCTTGGATGGTTTGCAGCGGTGATTTTGTTTTTAATGTGACGAAGCTGAAGTTCTCCCCAGGAAGGTCCTGTTTCTCGCTTCAGAGCATCGGTGACCCTTTTCCAGTAAAATGGTCGTCTCTTGAATATGTAAGGTACTAGTAATGGTCGTGAATATCTCTTAAAGCAGATTGTTCATCGCCTTTCTCCAGACTCAAGTTGAACGTCGTACGGTGAAGCACAGGGGTCCGAAACTTTCAGCATCTCTGTTGCACCACAGAAGAAGCTGAAGTGAGTTTAAAGAGGATGTGAATCCACAGCAAGCTACCTTTTTGAATCTCTTCAATGATTCATGTTTTTTGTCTTAATAAAGTTTGGTTTAGAGTTGTTTGAAGTTTGTCTTCCAATATCACCTATTCAGTTGATATTCTTTGCGCTTGTTCCTCATTTTTAGTTATGTAAGAAAAAGATCATATGTCTTTACCTGTTCTGACCTTGGTTTCTCTCTTTTTACCAGCCCTGTGATGTTTCACCCTCTTTGTTCTCTCTCGCCAGTAAAAGACCTGAACTTCTTAATGTTGGGAAGAATGTGAAGCTGCTGAGACCTCAACGCTCACCAGGCGATTGCTGATACCTGTGGAAGAGCCTGCTCTGCTCCACGACCTGCTTTGTCTTCAGCTACTGTTTTTGGACTGTTGTAATCTCTTCTGCAGAAGTTCGGCTTCCACCATGTCATCCTAGGCGTTGAGTCTTATGGCAGCAGTGACACAGATTACCAATGAGCTGTTGGTGTCAGTGTCACAACTGGTACCGTAATTGTTAAGAACCTGACGTCCGCACCGTCCTTCCCTGTGGTGTTCAGCACCTTCACTTCTGGAGAATCGGTAAAGCCATGTCATTTCCACCGTATAATCCCTATTCATCCAGGAATCAAAATCCCACCCAACGACCGACCGATCATCCAGTCTTTAGTGAACGATCGAACATGGACCACTGGACGGCACGGCACCGTATGGAACCTGATTCGGACTTTATCTCTTCTCCATCATTTTCTGGAGCTGGTAACATTTCAGGAAGAACTATCCCTCAAATGTCAGAGCTGCCGATGACGTACAGGCCTGAACAGAGGATGGCCAGGTCAGAAAGGGACCTGGAAAGATCACTTGTTGGCAGAACCAGAGAAGAATTGGTGCCGCCGCGTGTAAGCCATGGTTCTCGCTTTTTCTCCACTCAAAGAGACGAGTTTCCTTCCACCAGTGTAGCGTCGTATGGTGATGCAGGCAGAGATAGGGAGCCGCAGGATGAAGATGACAACAGCTCCTTGAGCTGGTTGCAGATCTTGAAAAAGCCCACAGGGGATACTCCTGTGAAATTTAATTCGCCAGCTTCATCCGACTATCCCAGCAGCAGTGATGATAGGTTTTTTGCATCCAGCGAGAAACGGCAGAGTAACCAATCTGTGTCCGGTTCCAGACGTTATGAAGACCCAACTCCAAGCGAACCAGTGCGTCCTGACGAGCCTTCTCAGTCGCAGTATACTCCAGAGCTTGCCGCCGTCCTTCTTGAACAATTTGGACTTGAAAAAGAGGACTTGGAATATCTCCTGATGTTCCCTGAAGATCAGATAAACTCTGATAATCTAGCTCTGATCTTGAAGCAGATTCGCCTCATGAAGGAGAAGAGAGCTTTGACATCGCCCGACTCTGACCCCGAACCCTCCACAAGCTTCTGTGAACCGGAGACGCACAGCAGCCCCGAAGTGCCAGAGATATACGAGGACGATATCTCTAGGATTTTTAAACCTGCCAAAGTGATTGACTATGGACATACTGGGAGCTACACTGTGGTTGATGAAATTAAAAACACCAGTAAAGTCACCAGTGGTGGGACTAAAAGCGTGCCTGATGCTTACAGCAGCACCAGTTACAAAGAACCGTTCAAACAAAGTACGTCAGAGGTTCCTTTACCTGGCCTGACAGTTTCTCTTACTAGTTTCGCCTCAGTGAGGAGTTCTGTGACTCCCCAAAGCAGCAACCTACCCAAGCTGCCACAAACTCAACCAAACCAGGCTCCTCAAAAGGTCCACATCCCTTTCATTTCCCCAGAAGACGACAAAGATCCACCTAAAAAGCCAGTGGCCCACCGAACCCAGGCTCCAGAGAAATTCACCCCCACCTTTGTTCCTCCAAAGGCAGAAGCAGATCCACCCAAACCTCTACAGAGTCAACCAGCCCAGGCACCTGGGATGTCCTTCACTCCCCTTGTTCTGCTAAAGAAAAATGCAGAAACAAGGAAAAGACCAAAGTTTTCCAGTGCCAACCTCCTGAAAGACTGTTCTCCGCAGGGGGAGGAGCAAGATTCAAAGTCTGGTACTTCTTCAAGTGAAGGCGGCAAAGTTGGTTGTAAGCAAGATAATCGTACTGATAAGCCTCACAAAACTCAAGAGCAACAGCCAGAGGT